GTGTGTGTGTGTGTGTGTGTGTGTGTGTGTGTGTGTGTGTGTAAATAGCTATGTGCATACTGGTGCATCCACAAGTAGGTGGAGCCTATGCACTGTGGATTATTCTGCATTGTGAGACAGTGGTGGTTATGCACCTTTGCAAGAACAGTGTCATTTTAGACCTTTTCCACATTAGCTCCCCCCATCCCTAAGATTTCCCATTGATGACTCCCCTGGTGGCAACAATAGCCACTGGCAGAACTAGCATAGAAAAGGTGAAAGTACTGGTGCCCTTTTTAACTATCCAAGATTTAACTGCTTCATGGTTTAGACTTGCTCTGAGCAGAACAGATAATGCTGAAATGGGTCAGACCTTCAGCAGGTGTAAAATGGTAACATCAGTTTACACCAGCTGATGATTTGGCCTAAAGACTATAAACAGGGAGTCTTCCTAAATAGTTTTTAAAAAAAGCATAATTCCGATCCTGACTAAATTCTTTCCTGGGATGGAACTTCTGCTGACTATAGTGGAGTCATGCTAGAGTTAGGAGTTACTGAATCTTAATTTACATTTTTTTTTTTTTTTTTTGAAGGACCGATCCAAGATTATTGCTATATATTTGTTTCTCCTTATTTATATGTAAGATAAACTAGAAACAAATTAGGTAGTGTGCAGTAAAGCAACTGCAATTGATTGAATACAGAAATGAAAACTTCCCAAATCCAAAGCCACCTAAGATATTTGGAATTTTTATTCTTATAAAAAGAGTGAACTGTAGTGTAGTTTAAACTCACTAGATTGCCTGTATACACTGAGTGAATTAAATCTACTTAAAATCCATTTAGGCATAATAAAGAAAGCAAATAGCACTAGTCAAAACAAACAGCATTACAAAGAATCAAAAAACTTTACATTGCTTAGTTCTCTCACATGACTTTATATAAGTAGTTAAAATTAACTCTTCTTTCTAAACTGGAGTTCATTTGAACATTCTTTACTTTTGTATTAATATTTTATCTTCAAATGTTGATTTTTAATAAATAGAAGTACAATAAAATCTTTATTTTAAAGATCAGATAACTATACAAAGAATATTATGTACCCAAATTTGCAAAAAGGTTTTATTTATCTTTGGATTCCACTGATATTTACGGTATAAAGTATGATAGAAATGTTATCCTATTTTCTTCATATCAACAGAATCCCAAGACACAAATGTAATCGTGTAGTATACACTATAGACTTACATTGTTGCAAAATGTTAATAGTGTTTCCAGTTTCTTAAATTCATTTTTTCTTGTTTAAGGTTTTTTGACTGTTTCATTTGTATGAGGAAAATTCTATTTGTACCAGGGTTTGCCTTCAAGAATTTTTTCAGTACTGTTAAATGTTGGGTATTTTTAATTTTATTTATATTTATTTATATATATATATATATATTTTAAATTCCACCAAGGCAAATTAAAACTGGAAACCCTATATCCAAAAACCTTTAAAAAGGCTTGTAGCTTTGGCTTTTCCCACTTCTTCTTCAGGGACATCCCAACATGTTACCGGCAGATCTTTTAAATAGTTATTGTACAGTTACTAGAATCCTCTCATGAGTTTGTGGGGCAGGATTGAAAGATGTGGAATAGATCATGAGATCACTTAAACATTGTAATTATGAATAATATTCTTATAGTCACATTAAATTGTATGTGATAGCACATCTTTGTTTTTAAATTAATTGAAATTCTACCTAGACATTTCAATAAACCATTTTTAAATAACAGTAACAGTTTTTGCAAACAAGAATTATAAGGGTATTTGTTTCAAATTGTACTCCACTACATTTACAATTTCACTAAAAATAAGGCATTCATGCTTGGTTATAACAGAGGGACTAGGCTGAGGGGAGACACATGTTTTATGTGAACCTGGTATTTATAAACACCTTTTTTATAGGGATTATTTTACCAGTCTTCAATGGTGCATTCAGGATTCTAATATGTGCTTGAGATGCAAGAGGCAGTATTAACTATTGTCTTTCAAAACAAAGGGAGTTGAAGGATAGTAAAATCCAGCAATGCCTGAATTGGCCAATGTATAGTAGCTATCTTTTTATTGCCTGTAGTTACCAACTTTATTCTATCCTTTTGCTGCCGTATGTGTCTATCTGCTTTATCTAGGTAGGGCATCACCTTAATATGGGTATGGTGGTTTCCACCACACCAAATATTTGGCTAGTTCCTCATTCTCTTTGACTTCCCATATTTTCACTGTCATCAACCCCTGCTCTTGTAACCTTAATTCCTGGGGCAAATTATTCTCCTTTGGTGTTTGCATGAAACTCCCTTTGACATCAAATAGAAGTTGCACACACAGAATACAGTAGAATAGAGCCCTTGAAAAATGAATGCTTTTTGGCTGGTACCCTAGATTCTTGTTTTTCCTCCCTTTTATTCAGAAGATCTATTCCAGCAGCATTTAAAGATAGGCAAAAAAGTGGGGAGGGGAACTGTAATCTAATCCATAATAATCCTTGTCAATTTCTAGTGACTTTCAGTATGAAACTGATATTTAACTTCAGTATTTCAAAGTCTTGCTGAATCAAATAGACTTCAATTGAAGATTTTGCACTTGAGAGATCAATAAATTCTCTAATTCAGAAGTTCTCAAACTTTTTTATTGTGTGACCTATTTATTAAGGTAATTGTGCAAACTGCTTCCCTTCCTGTCCAGGCTAGTGTGGGCCACCTCCTTTGCAATCGCACAATGTCCCTTTGCAAAACTGGTACTGGGAAAATATTTATTTGTGTGTTTTGGCTGCTGGAAACAAGAAGAGCTAGCACTGTATGAACTGCGAGCTCTCTGCAGACCATTAGCAAGAGCTCCATAAACTGCCATGATCCAGGGACCAGTTTGAGAACCACTGCTTTATTTTGTTCTTGATGCCTGCAAAATATACCTTCCCTGGGAAAAGGCATGGTAGAAAATATACAACATAATGACAAATGGGTAGCTTTTCATTCTAGACCAGGGGTAGGCAACCTATGGCACGCATGCTGAAGGCGGCACGCAAGCTGATTTTCAGTGGCACTCACACTGCCCGGGTCCTGGCTACTGGTCCGGGGGGACTCTGCATTTTAATTTAATTTTTAAATAAAGCTTCTTAAACATTTTAAAAACCTTATTTACTTTACATACAACAATAGTTTAGTTATATATTATAGACTTCTAAAAACGTTAAAATGTATTACTGGCACATGAGACCGTAAATTAGAGTGAATAAATGAAGACTCGGCTCACCACTTCTGAAAGGTTGTCGACCACTGTTCTAGACAATCACATTAGAAACACATTCCTAGTCATCAGCTAGCTGGGAGCAGGCCTATGTTGTGTTTTTCTGACCTATTTCTGACCACTTTGATCTCACTAGAAGGTCAATTTGGTTCAAATACTATCTTGATGAGCTGCCTCAAATAGAAAGGGTTTGGATAAGCAGTGAGTTATCTTTAAAAGAAAAGCAGTATTTTTCCTTGTACTGTATCCAGCTTGGGTAAGTTTGGTTAGAATAATGGGAATGACCTAACTGCAGAATAAAAAACCCCAAACCTTTTACTTTATTATACCAAATAAAAAAGCAAGTCTGACATAGATAAATGCTGAATTTCCTGTATTCAGTTTTCCTAATGTAAAGTAAATTACATTTCTTAGTGCAAATTATGGTATATGTAAAGTGTGGTAGATAATAATCTGTTGTTAAAGCTATGTAAAACAAAAGGATGTTGAGATCTCAAGGCTAGGGTTGCCAACCCTCCTGGTTTGGCTGGGAGTCTCCCGGTCAAGGCTCTATCTCCAAAGTAGAAGCCAAACCGGGAGATTTTAGGTGCTAAGAGTACGGCGGCACAGGGGGGATAATGCAGGCTCCTTGCCTGCCCTGGCCCCACGCTGCTCCTGGAAGTGGCCGGCATGATCCTGCGGGGGCGGGAAGGGTTTCTGTGTGCTGCCCATGCCCCGAGCTCCAACTCCACAGCTCCCATTGGTCAGGAATGGTGGCCAAAGGGAGCTGCGGGGGCAGTGCCTGCAGGCAGAGGCAGTGCGTGGGGGGCAGCAGGGATGTGCTGGCCACTTCCGGGAGCAGCGCACAGAGGGGCCAGGGTGCGGACCCCCTGACCTTGCTTACCTCCAGGCAGATCCCGGTCGGTGGTGCAGCAGGGCTCAGGCAGGCTCCACCCCCGTCGCTCCCATTGGCCACACTTCATGACCAATGGGATCTGTGGAGTTGGCGCTCGGGGCGCGGGCAGTGCGCAGAGACCCCTGCCCTCCCCTGGTGCCACAGGGACATGCTGGACACTTTCGGGAGCGGCGTGGGGCCAGGGCAGGCAGGGAGCCTGCCTTAGTCCCACTGAGCCACCGCCTGGGAGCTGCCCGAGGTAAGCGCCGCCTGGCTGGAGCTTGCATCCCCCCCCCATCCCCTGCCACATGCCTGAGCCCCTTCCTGCACCCAAACTCCCTTCCAGAGGTGGCACCCTGCACCCCAGCCGCCTGCCCCAGGCTCATCCCGGAGCTCCCTTCCACACTCCAAAACCCTTGGCCCCAGCCCAGAGCCAGCATCCCCTCCCACATCCCAACTCCCTGCCCCAGCCCAATGAAAGTGAGTGAGGGTGGGGGAGAGCGAGTGACAGAGGGAGTGGGGAAATGGAGAGAGCAGGACAGGGCCTCGGAGAAGGGGCGGGGCAGGGGTGTGTGGGTTTGTGTGATTAGACAATTGCCAAGCCTACTCAAGGCACACTTTTGGCTTCTAACATCCAGTTAGCCAATTGAACGCAATGAGTGAATACTGTTCTCTTACCAGGGTGGTTGGTTCTTGATATACCTTGAAAAACAAATTAAAACTTTCTCTGCAAATGCCTGTTTGTTTCAATAGACATATCTTTTTAAAACTGAGTCACAAGTCATGTGAAAAGATACCAGACAGAATTGAAGTTTTGGCATTACTTTTCTTCCCATTAATCAGACCTAAACCCCTTCCTTAAATAGGAAAAAAGAAAAAGACAATTTATATCTGGGAAAAGCTTTCTTTAAAATAGCTTCTACTTCATTTTTCAGGATTCTAGTCATAAACTATTAGAGCAAGTTGAATAATTTCAATTAACAGTATAACATTGTAGCATCTTGAAGTGGAACAGAAAATTTTCTGGAATACAGTCAAATCTAAATGTGCCTGTGCATCATTTTGGATTGATCTGGGCTTCTATGAGATATTAATATACATATATCCAATATCTAAAAAGATTTACAGTGAAATTTTAAAGCATGCAGGCCCAAAAGAGTGAGGTGGTTGTTTTTAATATTGTGGTTCACTTGGCTGAAACACTAATTGAATAACACAATTCATGCCCTTTCTTACTTCCATGAAAAAGGCACAAATTTACCACATTCACATGAGATGCCTCTTAGCAAGGTGAACAAACAAGTTAGCTCATGGACAGCTTTGTACCAGTAGGCTTTAAATCACTGTTCAGTACAGAAGTGCTTTTTAATGTGTTTACAATGGCTAGTACGAAAATGGTGCAGTGGTTGACGAGACTGTTTTAGTCCAACTGCTCGACCTGCTCACGTGGGTATTCTTGCCTTGGGAGTTTCTTGTTTAGTTCTTTTTTTTCCCCTTTTGGTGTGGCTTTCTTATAGGATAGTGCAATGGGAAGCAAAGATTCTGTGGAACTTCAGAGAAGCATCACAAGGATACAGATAAGCAAGAGGCATATTAAAATAAGACAAAAATTGATAAAGAGCTCCTGGAGCTTTTGGCGTGTTTGTGGGTTCACCTCAATAGTTGAGGCTCTCCTCATGGCAGAGCGGGTTATGTGCTGGACCTTCTCCATGGCAACAGGAAAGCAGAGAGCACAAGTCAGGTTTTAGAAGAAGTGCAGGTAAAAAACAGAAGTTGTCAGGAACAGTGCAAAGTGGTTATTATCTTCAGTTTTTGGTTTAGAGAATCTGTGTGGAGCTGGGAAAGCAGGAAAGTGAAGAGTTAGAAACACAAAGGTAAAGTGTTTTGATCAGTGCATGTGCAGATTGTATTCATGTTATAATAGTGCCTGAAAGAAAAAGTGAAGTTACTTTCCACAGTGTGCTACACATTATTTTCACTTAAAAAAAATGATTTTCAAGACAGATAAGACTTAGTGGAATTGCACATGCAACCTTATGAGTGAGTTATTGAGTGCCTGCAAATCTGAGGTGGAAGCCCTTTATGAAATGGGACTTGTGGATGTTCAGCAGTTCTCAGAATTAGTCCAGTAGGGCCTAATCTGATTTCCTTCAGAGTCTATGGAAAGACTCCCCCTGTCTTCAGTTGGAGTTGTTTCTGGCCAATTAGGAGGCAGGATGGTCTTGTAGATAAAACCCACAGGACATGGAGTCAGGAAATTCTGATTCTTTTTCTGGCTGTGTCACTGATTACTTATGTGATCTTGGACAAATCATTTAACTTCTCAGTGCCTCATTTTTGAGGGGTAGTGGAAAAACTAGTCTTGCTAATGCATTTCCTTTCCAAGTAGAAAGAATTTCATGTGTAAGCAAATGCTGTGGCAGCGTCTAATACGTATCATTGATATGGGAAATTTCTAGTAAAATTATCTTGAAGGACGGGCAGTCTGAGACCATGAGACTTTTCTTCTCTGAAAGTACTAATGTGCACTAAAAATGTCATGCCCAAAGGCAGAGGGGTGGTGCTGCAATAAATGCATGGGAAAATATAATTTTTTAACTTGTTAGCGATAGATACAGTGTTGCTTGAAGTGCTTTTTATAAGAAATAAAGAGAAGATAGGTATGCAGTACTTTCAGGAATGCACGTTATATTGAGTTTTAAAAAAATAAGCCCCCAAAACATGCTGTAAGCTCTTCAGGGCAAGGGGCTGTCCTTTTGTTATGTGTCTGTTCAGAACCTAGTACAAGGAGGGCTTGATCCATGGCTGGGGCTGTTAGGCACAACAAGAATACAAATAATTGATGATAATGATGGTAACCTCAAGCTGCCCTTGGAGAAATAGGTTTATTCACCATAAATTTTTCTCATAGGGGAGAATTTGCCCCTCAATGTTTATATTACATATATCTTTATGTATGCAGTGTAGCTGTAGCCGTGTCGGTCCAGGGATATTACAGAGATAAGGTGGGTGAGGTAATCGCTTTTATTGGACCAACTTCTGTTGGTGAGAGAGACAAGATTTGAAGCCGCACACAGCTCTTCTTCAGCTCTGGGAAAGGTCCTCCCAACGTCACAATAAAATGCAAGGTGGGACATAGTGTTTAGCATAAGCAGTTACCAGATATTGTAAGGGACCATTCAAGGCTGCTAACTACTTATGCTAACCCAGTGATTCTCAAACTTTTGTACTGGTGACCCCTTTCACATAGCAAGCTTCTGAGTGTGCCCCCCCCCATAAATTAAAAACACTTTTTAATATATTTAACACCATTATAAATGCTGGAGGCAAAGTGAGGTTTGGGTGGAAGCTGACAGCTCACGACCCCGCACATAATAGCCTCACAACCCCCCTGAGGGGTCCCAACCCCCCAGTTTGAGAACCTCTTTGCTAAACAATCGGTTCCACCTTGCATTTTGTTGCGATGCTGGGAGTATAAGAAGGGCTCTGTGTAGCTTGAAAGCTTGTCTCTCTTACCAACCGAAGTTGGTCCAATAAAAGATATTACCTCACCTGCCTTGTCTCTCTATATGGCAGATATACTTTCTCTGCTCATGACCCAAATAAGTTTATTGATAACAGCTATATTTTAAGATATATAGACTCCTGCCATTGCATCCATATAGAGTGGGGGGAGACCAATCCTTAGCAGTGGCCATCCCACAAATGGCATCATAACTGCTGTGTGAACCACCTGACTGTAAAAGGGGGTGGATGGAGAGCAGCATAAGGAGGCTTCCATTACACATCCAGACTCCAGATCCATAAATTTGCTTGCCAATCTGGCTAAAAGGATTCATAAGAAATATACAGTGAACTACATGAAAACTTTCAACCGATCTTTTTTACTCTTCTCAAAAATCTGTCCACAGGAGGGGAGGATAAGGGGCTGTTAGTTCATATCCACTACTGTTGTATGCTGTGACCAGGATCTGTTTTCAGCATCAAAGACTGCTATAGCATTTCAAAAACTGACTTAAAAATCAGATTGCACATAGATATATTAATAGCTTTGGTTGGTTGAATGTCGTGACATCTTTTCCTAAAATTAGATTCTACAATTTTAGTACAGTATATGACATCAAGAGCTTATTTTTAGTTGCCACTTTAATTTTTCAGCTTAGTTTGACTCTAGATAGATGAAAGCAGGTATAGCATAAACACTTAAAGTGCTTGCCCGGCATATTCTATTCAGTTATTTGTCTGGTCTTTGTCTATCTTGTGTAAGTGCAGTAAAAGCAAAACAGACGTGCAAGAATTCTCAGATGACTTGACTGAAAGTTTATCCATTCGCCTAGCCTAATAGGGGCTGAGATACACTAAAATGTTTATTCTGTTCCAGAGGAGGTATGCTAGTTCAAGCACTAACGTGTTTATACGGACACAAACAAATTTGTTCAAGCAGTGCATAAGGTTGACACTTCAGACAACCATATTTGCTGGGAATTACTTCATCACAACCTGCTGTGCCATTATTTAATGGCGACCACAATTCAGAGAAGGCCTATCATTTAGTAAGTCATATTAAAAAATGTAATTTTTTTTTTTTTAACCTTTGGAAGGAGAAAGGAAATGTTAGTGAAATAGTCATTGGGCTTGATTCTCGTATAACACTCTGGCTGTGTAAAGGATCCTTAAAGTGAGATAGTGGCATAAATGAAAATATGTACCTTTGTGTTTAAAGGATTCATATTTGTAATGCTCTGGAAGAACAAGATGTAGGGAGTTCAGAATTCAGTAATTAGTGTTGCTGTGCTAGAGGACCTATGTGGAGTTCTTAAAGAAGCACCAGCAGGGTTTCAGAAGCAATTTTGAGTGCTCTTGTCTTCTCCCTACCTAATACGTCTCTGTTTAGTAGAGGTTTTCTGATCTACATGTAGATCTATATGTCTACACTTCAATATGTGTTCCGCTATAAGGTGCTTTGTTTCAGCTAGCAAATGCATATCTTGCTTGTTAATCTTCCCTGGGTGTGCATAAAGAGAAATAGACACAGTAACACAGCTGTGTGTGGATAACAAACAAGGTCAAAAGGTACAGTCCAATATTATATCATGAAGAATCATTTAATTAAAATGAAGGCCTATTCTTGCTGTATATCATAACAGCATAGAAATGCCCAAATTTAGGTCACTGGTGCTAATACTTTAGGTCAACACCATGATGAAACCTTGCGCGCACACACACAAATGTATCTCAGAAGCTAAAAGTGGGAGTTTCGGCAGGAAGGCAAATTATATTTGAGATCTTATGTGCCAAGTACTGTTGTGTTCAGATGCAGTACTGTCCTGCGTTGCCCAAGAAACAAACCTTTGGCTCCATCATTGAATGGGTGTGTTCATTCTTCTGGAAGACATTGTGCACACTTCATTGTTTAGGTAAAAGGCCAAATTGCCGATCCTACATGTCCGTATGTTAAGGTAACTTTACAGTTGTCTTACAGTGGTTCAACAGATCAGTCACTGTTGGGCTCCTAGCTGACAAGTAATTATTGTAGTGATTATGTGTGGTTATTTTTATCCGTTTCTGGGTACCCTTCATACTGAGAGGAGGTATGTGAACAAAGTTCAAAATCGTAGTGAACAAAGTTGAAACCTGTAGGCCAAATTCATTCCAGGTATAAGTCTATTCACTTCAGTTGGGTCACAGAGGATAAATTTGGCTCCATTGGAAACTGTGATTTTAGACACGGTTTACCCATTTCCTATCATATGTTTACTAAATGTGGTAGTTAGATCAGTGAAATAAAAGGGATTTGACATGCATGATTTATTATCTTCCCATGTAACCAAGCTAACTTGTGGCATGGAATAGTAAGACAGGCACAGGAAATGAACAGTAGGTAATGAAGTATTTCACAGTAATTTCATTTTGGTAGCATGGTACAAAAAGCAGTAATCCTAGTTGCTTCCTTTTGAAAGTGAACAATTTAGTGACCGTCAGTACCACACAGCAAAAATGGTAGTGAGTTACGTGATCTGTGGCTTATGTATATTTTTGGAAGCTATTATCTAAAATAATCCCGCATACAACATACTTTTGGATTAATTGTTGTTCCTCTGGTCTTCCTACATAAAATCCCATTATCCTAGTTGAGATGAGATGCTCTCTATAAATTCAGGTGAGGAAGAAATAAAAGGTCACGGTTTGTATTTGACAGTGGGAACTCAGCCCCTCATACCAAAAGCAAAAGAGAGCTAGTCAAGTATCTAGGATTAAACCCTGAACATTAGCTGTGGGAGTGTAGATCTGGAGCCCCTGATCACAGTTAGATGTGCCACGTGCAGATCCAAGAGGAAGCTGGATAGTACAATTTGCTACTCTGCTCATGCACAGAAATCTGTAGGCAATGCAGAGGATCTTCCTGTTGATTATCCTCCCTGACAGGAGGATTTTGCTCTATTTATAGTTCCTTAAAAATATATCTAATCCCAGCATATGTAACCTCCTTTTTGAGCCAGTGACTGTATTGATTCATTTAATTTTGAGAACCTTCTATGTCCTCTGAAGTCTCCTTTTTTTCAGTCTAGGAAGAAGAGGGAACATTAACTCATTAGACCACTAGAGGGCCTCTGTCTACTATTTATGCTCCAGTTAGTTCAATAAAACAAGTGTTCATAAAAAAAAAACAGGACTAGATCATAGGTGGTGTGGTGCTAGAGAGGCTCATAATGGCATCTAGCAATTTTCTGAAGTGGAACAATGCTCTGCCAATGGTCCACTGGTTCTTTGGTCACTAGTTGGATGTCTGTATATCCACCCACAGCATAGGAGCTTTCCTGTACCACTGTATTGTAGAGCCTCTGGTTGGGATTCTTTCTTATTCTCTGATTCAAGTGTTTCAGGTAGAGAAGAGTTCTGATCAAAGCAGCCCACTGTAGGAAAGGACTAGCACTGTGGGTACAATAAGTTGTTCCCACACCACGAGTGGGGCAGTCATCTGATGGGAGCAACCTGAACATCAAACAAGGGAAGCTGAATTGGGGGAAGAGAATGGATAGAACTGTGTGAAGGATGGACTAGACAAAAATAGATGTCATGGTAGGGGGAAATGGAACACAGAAATAGAGTATGGGGACAGGAGAGGAGAAATGGAGCGGGAGATCAAAGGGATGAAGGGGCCAAACATGAACAGAGAGGGAAAGAGAAACAAGGGCAAACAAGGGTGTAAAGAAACAAGAAGATATGAACTGAAGCTGGAGTACAGAAAACAGTTCATGAAAGGTAGAGGGAGTCCATTTTGCCAGAAATAGCAAGGACCAAATTTTAAAATTGCTTGGGGTTGCTTTTTGTTGTACGTTGTCCATACACTTTGATTTAATGATGGATGAGGGGGATACTTAGTGTGTGTGTGTGTGTGTGTGTGTAATGTAATATATGTCTTCTGATGATGATATTTGAGGATCTTAACTGAATTTTCCTGCCTGGTATTAAGAATCTTTTGTGCAATGGCATTTAAATCAGACTAATGGATTCTGTGGTTAAGATGTCATAAAACAGGCTAAGTTCAGTTATTTCGTTGGCCATTTTCAGGGGCACAGGGAATTCTCCCCTCCCCCCCCCGTCCCCTTATTCTGATTTGATAGCTATTTTACCTCTGGAACAAGAACGGCAGCAAAATCAATGAGATAGAGCCTCTTCCTAAATCATAGGTTGCTGAGGACCAACATAGGCTAGAGTGTCTAAATATTACACCTATTGGGTCCTATAAATACCTAACAGATATATAATATGCATCTAATTACTCACTCAGTGACTGCAACAGTTCTAGTTGTGCATACATAGCTTAGATTCTTGTTTTTGAAAGTCACCCAGCATGTCTCGTATGGTAATACTGATCATGATCTAATAAAATTAGTAATGATCTTGCTATATATATTGAATCATTAGAATGGTTTTGTGGTTGACTGAGTTAAATTCCTAGCTCTGCCATAGACTTCCTGTGTGATCTTGGGCAAGTCACTCAATCTCTCTATGTATCAATTCCCAATCTTAAAAACCGGGGAATAATACCACTTGCTTTTTCCAATTTGTTTTTTTGACTTGTCTGTTTAGACTATAAGATCTTTGGGAATGGAGCTCTCTTTCTTAATGTGTGCGTGTACAGCATCTAGTACAATGGGTCTCTAATCTCAGTTGGAGTTCTAATTGCTACTGTAGTACTAATAATAGATAACAGAAATAGAAAGCAAGTAAGTGAAAATAGAATTGAGGCAAAGATAAAGCAATGAGAAACAATTTTTTCTTTCATAATCTTTAAAAAGAATGGTGTTGGGATGGAGCAGGGGGTTAGTTCAAGTGGGTTAAAAAGTGATTTGATGTGTGGACAAATCCCCAAAAGCATACATATATCCCTGACTCTGCTTTCCAAAGCTTGTTCCTCAACTGGCATACATTTATTGTTTTTTCAAATGCCATTGAAAACAAACAAAACAAAGGTGTTTTGATTATTCCTATGTGGATGTGTTTGGAGCATTTGTCACTTGCTTATGTTCTAAAAAGTACAGGAATAAGCACATTTTTGTCCTCTGTAATTAAGGGCCCATCTTAATGAGCTTCATGTTTACCGGTAATACTACATTGAGGAAGTTCTATAGCTTTCCTGCAGAAAAAGAAATAAAGTTCCATTGGAACTTCTTGCCAGAGGATGTTGTGAGGGCCAAGACCATAACAGGGTTCAAAAAGAACTAGATCAGTTCATGGAGGATAGGTCCATCAATGGCTATTAGCTAGGATGGACAGGGATGGTGTCCCTAGCCTCTGTTTGCCAGAAGCTGGGAATGAGCAACAGAGGATGGATCACTTGATGATGATTACCTGTTCTATTCATTCCCTCTGGGGCATCTGGCAATGGCCACTGTCGGAAGACAGGATATTGGGCTAGATGGACCTGTGGTCTACCCCAGTAGGGCCGTTCTTCTGTTCTAAAGCATCTAAAGTAATGAATTTTAGACCAATGGTGTACTACATAGGATATAACTTGTCTCTAGACATCTATGAAACACTCATTAATTTTCCCTTCTGCAGTACAATATTTACAAAACTGTCTCTAAATATTAATAAGGAATCAGACAATTAAACCAAAAAGGCAGATCGTTGCTGTTAACTGTAAGTCAAATGTAATATTTTACATCTGTTTAAAAACATTTTTTTCATTTATATTACCAATACTTTTGTTGTTACTCAGCATTCTTGGACAGCTACAAAATGGGTTATTACCCTTGCAAGCTATTGAGATTATGTATAGATGATGAGCCACATTCTAACCTAATGTAAATCAGCATAACTCCATTGAAGCCAGTGGAGCTATATTCATTTACATCAGACAAGAATCTCACCTGAGATAGCCATGGATCTATTTTTATAAAGAGTCTAATACCAGGGCAGCTAAGTGCTATAGTTCTGTTTGTGTGTGTGTATTATATACACAGTATAATAACTCAAATTTCTTGTTGGTTTCTTAAATATAATTACTGTACTTAGTGTGAGCAAATCCCTATCTTTGTATGAAAAGACAAAATATTTGGTTTTAAATAAAAACGTTTAAAAGGAAAATAAAATGTTGTTACCTAAATGTCCCGAGACAAATGCCTCTTGCAGGCAAAATGAGAAGTACTACTGCTTCCTTCTGGAAACAACTCCTATAACAGAATGACATAGTCTTCAACTAGTTATATGCTGCAAAGTTCACCATATGAACATCAAAGTGTTTCAGGAATAGAGATCAAACAGTTCCCTGTTTGCACATGGATGATGTGTCCAAATACAAATATCTGGGTAAATTCTTGATGAATACATTGCACACAACTCTCAGTAATGTTAATGGAATTGCATGCAGGCACTCCCAAGAGTGTTGGGAGAATATACTTTTAAATACAAAATATACAGTAGAACTCTGGTATTCATGGATCTTATCTTAAAATGTAAACATACCTATATAGGTATGTATCGATAGCAATACACTGCTACTCTGAGAACAGATATAGGTTTAGAATGTACTGAGTCTATTTTTGTGTTTTGTAGTCTCCTGACTTCTTAAAAAAAAATAGATTTCTCCCTCTTATTTAGGAAAATTCTTATCAGATTCCTAGACTCATGCAGTCATGCATGGATCCTTGGATTTCTCAACAAAATACATTAACATGAAAATACAAAAACAAACGTAAGAAGTGAAAAAGAAATGTTCCTGTTTACCAGACATATCCTTTCTTTTACTCATTTCCTTTCGTTAATTAATAAAATGTATTTTTGCTCTATATGTTCTTTATAAAGGGTCAGATTTTAAACAGCTAAAACTTTTTCATGTGGTTTTTGTTTTGTTTTGTTCTTGTTTTGTACAGTGCCCGAACACTTTTTATGAATGATGGATGAGAATACCTTATTTATAAAAATTACTTTTGATATTGAGACTTAGTTGTATCTTCCTGCTAGTTATTAAGAATCTTTTGTGCCACTGTATTTCAATGAAACTAATGGATTCAGAAGTTAAGATATCATAAAAAAGGTTTTAAGTTCAGGTTATATTGGCCATCAGAAAAAAAAGAAGCCTTAAAAAGATTTCAGAACTGAAACATAGTATTTTACATTAAAATTTGAATACTGCAAAATTAAGGATCAGCATTTTAACCCTTCTTTATAATCAAAATAGGACTCTCTCTCTATAATTTAAAAAATGTCTCTTCTAAAAATGGGCTATAAGTGAATCAGTTTTTCTGATTTAAGACTAGGACGGTGAACTTTCCTTAATTTGGGTTGCTAGTAGGCAACTAAACTAAAAGTAGAAACCTCAAAACCAAAAAACAGTAATGTAAGCTCTTGAATTAAGTTACTTTTTGATGAGAACAGAAAAATTTGGTTTGTTTTAAAACAAAAGCAACAACTGCTAACAAAAACCTGAGTCAAGGTGTGGGAGAAATCATTAAGACTTCTGGTGGTGTGGTGATGTTTGCTTAATCCATTCCCCAAGGAAAACATAGCTTCATATTAAAAAGAAGAAGCTGATGATTTTTAAAAACAAAACTACCGTCCTTATTTTTTCCATTGCACTCTTTTTTGGCTTGGAACAGTAATGCCTAAAATCTCTCCACTTTTAAAAAAAGCAGCTGTAAGGGTTGGGTTTTATTTTAAATAAGCATTTATAATACAGGCTGCTCATTTTGCATAGAGCGGTTTAGTTTGGAAAACTAAAATATAATTGTAATAAGAAGAGATCCCTTACCTCTGCTGATGATTATTAGTGAGTTATAAGATAATGTGTTCTGAGCTGTGGGAAACTGTCTGGACTTCTCTGGCAACTTGTCTGACTCTGTCACCAAGTTTGTAGGAACAATTGAAGAAGGTGGAGGAAAAAATAACAAAAGTTTGAGGCAGGGCTCATGATGTCATGCAGGAATTCAGAAGTTGTGATTGGTTACAACACGGCCTTTTAATACAGGGCAGTTGCTCATCTAAACTCACTATAGCAGTAATGTTAGCACTGGGAAAATGGGTTTTTTGTTGTTTTTGCCACATTCTTTAAGAAAGTGGACAGAAGGAAAGCAGTCTGCATGGCCATGAACTGAAGAACTTGAGCAGTGATATGATCCAGTGTTTGGAAACATGGAGATGAGGCTGCATGCAAATATGTAGTATTTTTAGTAACTTATATAAAATTGTGGTTAATTAAGAAAACGCTAGACAATTCTTCAAAATGGTGAATTTGCTACAACAATGACATAAATATCCCCCTTTGAATATTTTGCTTTCATATAAATTATCTAAATTATCTTTTTTTTTCCCCTCCCCTTCTGGGTCTTGAGCATCTTTACAAGCTTTGAACCATTTTCATTTGTTAAAAGGGGTTTACTAAGGTATGTGGTGTGTATAGCTTTTAGTGGTATTATACACCTGATCACTATCCTCTTTATGTCACAGTATGAGTATCCCTGTTGTGTTCGTTCTCCAAAACTTTCCTTTCCCACCACAGAGGAACTGATGCAGTTTGTGCTTCATTTCAGGATCTCCACACCCACAGACTAGATGTGGGGCAGGATTTTGCCCCAGATAAACTGAGAGGCTTTTAAATCTCCGCATATGCTTAAAATAGTTACTTCTCTTGCCCTTTACCTCAGACCAAATTATATTGTGGTCAGATGTGATCATTTTTTATAAGAAAGCACTGATATTGTATTTGGCACTATAATAAACAGAGGAAGATATGCTCCTTGCTCTATAAACCATGCAAGTTAAATAGACAGAGAACACAAACCAGACACACAATAATGTGCTGAGAGAAGGATTCTGTCTTGCAGCATTTTTTAAAAATATAGTGCTTGCATTAAAATACTTTTTTTGCACTGTTATGATGAGCTTCTCTTAGACTTTACCCTTAGTTAAGTGAAGACAGGGCCTGTGAAACTGTTACAATAACTTTAACACAACCAGAGCTTAAAGCTTTTATTCTAATACAGTAAATCTGGCAGTTTTCTATTGCCCTTTAGTATCAGGAACAGAAAATATAAGGTTACATGTTTCAATTGAAAGTTAATTGAATGCCTCCTCAGTGAATGGTGGTGATTCTTTTCTTGTGCATAAGGCCTCATAATTCACTTGTTGTGACAATGTTAGTATTATGGATCTCTGACATCTCAGGAGAAATGTATTTGCCCTTTATAAAGAAAGCATCCTATATTTATCACAGGATGTAGTCCTGCAAAAAGTTCATTTACCATTGATGGGTACATTATGGCGCTGTTCTCTTACTTGAGATAAAATGAACCACTTTCAGCAAAAGTACTTTCTTTAACTTAGTCAGCTGCTTCACTTCTCACTTTAAAGTGAAATGTCCCCTGTTAAAATCATTCGTGTTTAACTGCAACACCCAGAATACCATTAACTGTAATTTATGTCCATCCCTTGTACAGATGGGCATAGCAAAAGGAGTGTTTTGCATTTATTCATTCCCAGACTTTTAACTTGTCTTTGATTTTGATGCATTGGTCTGTTACTGCCACTTTAGAGGTGTGTCTGTGTACACTTCATAAGGATTTTTTTTTTCATATATAGTATTGTAACATGTTGGGAAGGAAAAAATTGCCTTCAATCCATTAGTTTCATCTAATTTTATTAAAATCTGATACTTTTTTATTGTTTAATTTATGACCAGGAAATAAATGAGAGAATAGTACAAACAATTAAACAGTGCCTTCAAAGGTATTTAACGAATCTCTTCTGTGTATTTCTAAAACCATTTTAGGACTTTCTACTCCAGAACCATTTAAAATATCTGAATAAGAAGTACAGATTCAGACTAAGTGAATGCTATGGGTATATCCACTGTGAATCTTGTGTCGATCATACTGATTGTAGACAAATTGGTCTTAGATTTGACAAGTTGTTGCTATAGAACTTTGTTAAACTTTAGTCTGAAATCTCCTTTTCTGACATATGAAACCTGGAAGAGGGGGCTCAGTTATCTGTGTAGTCTTTTTAAAATATCTAACATGCTTCCTGTTGACATACTAGCGCAGTAAATCCACAAATTGTACTTAAATGCATATTGCATTTTTCTGATTAACTCTTCTGTGTATATATTACAAGTTGCTCAGCTACAAATGAACTAATTTGGGACATTAGAAAAGAAAAGGTTTAAAAAAGGAATACATGTTGGAGGCTTTGGCGTGCTTCATTTTCTTCTTGGGAACAAAAATGTGCAGCTGCTGCTTGCATGACCTTAAATGGAGATGATCTGGACTATCTCCAGTGGGATTAGAAATCCACCACCAGAGCATGTTTGTGTTCTTGTATTTAGAGATCCAGTTGCTTTTTGGGATAATATCCAAAGAGCACAAGCATTTTACACTTGGTGTAGCAGCTTCTTATTTAACTAATAATAAAAATTTCATTGAGGTTATTTTGTCTTTTGTGTGTTTTTGTTTTTAAAATTCCAGATGTAGATGTCCGTCACCTATACTATCTTGGTAAAAACTCTGAGATGTTAGTGTTTGTTTTCTATGATCTATGGTGATGGATAGAAATGAACTATATATAACACAAGTATAATCTGGTTTTGTGGTTTTAAAGTAACCAAAGAAATTCAGCACTAAAACTGAACACCAGTGCTGAGGCCTTCTCACACTGTTGTCTGGTGGCATCTTAAAGACTAACAGATTAATTTGGGCATAGCTATGCCCAAATTAATCTGTTAGTCTTTAAGGTGCCACCAGACTCCTTGTTGTTTTTGTAGATACAGACTAACACGGCTACCCCCTGATACTTCACACTGTTGTGCCACTTTTCTCTAATAATATTGGGTAAATTAAAATGTATCTTTACTCTGCCTCTGTAAAAATGACATAATTGAGAGTCCATCTCTCTCTAGGATTTCAGTAGAATATGTTCAGTTTAAAAATAATAGAAAAGATATTTTTGGTTTTTTTTCCTAACTGCCAGTGCTGCAAACTCACCTTGAGAACTGAGCCTGAGTTCCTTTGTTTTTGTGTGTTGTCACGATCAACAAGCCAAATGCTGTTCTTGGTGATAACCTCACTGTTGTTGTTTGTGTGTTTGCACAGGTGTCACTGATTGTAATTTAGGAAACACTTACGTTGATGTATGGTGTTCTTTGCATGTGTTTGTACTACAGGACTAACAGAAGTAAAAAGTGGTGAAAACTTTTTTGTTACTGAACTTGGCAGATATGATTCTAAAAGTATAGAAAGGGCTAGTTCTTCTTCAGTTGCTGTAAATTAACATAGTCCCATTAAAGCCAATGTCAGTATACAGATTTATACCCGCTAAAGATCTGGCCCAAAGGCAGATGTGGTAAGCAGGTGTCATTTTACTTAGTTGTTTTAACAACAGAATTGCACTTTAAGACAGTTTCCTATCTCTGAATTTTTCTTGCTTGATTTTGGTGGTGAGGTTTAAGAATACAGTCCTGACTTCCGTGGGTCTCATGTCAGATTCTACTGTTTTTAACTGGCGTGGGGTGGGATGGGAGAGCTGCAGAGAAGTGGGGTTGAGGCTTTGTTTGGTTTCGTTTAACTTAATGTGTTAGTGAAGCATTTAGTGAAACATTCTCTAGCAAGATAACCAGAGTTCACGCTTCAGGAATAACAAATAAGATCAAAGTCATGATGTTAACATATAATCCTACGCAGTCTGATTTTAGTGTTTTGTTTGTTTTTAATCACAAAAACTATATAAATAAATAGGTTGCACTCCATAGCTTGCGGGGTAATTTAATTAGTCATTTGCTTTGAAGATGATCAGCAGTATTCTCAATTTTCTTCCATTGCCCTTCACCACATCACTCCAGGAGATAGATAGGGTAAAAATTTTATATCTATCTATCTATCTATCTCTTTGTTTTTCCCCTACCTCGTGCTGCTGTCAAGCTATTGTTACAACATGCTGTATCCAAGTTAAAGCAGATGGAAGAGTCACGGAGAGTCCTCTCTAAGAGAGCCACCTTTCCTGCTTCATAGATT